ATTAATTATTTGAATGCGGCTCTAGGGAGTGAAGACAAATATAAATCGCATAATGAGGTATATGCAAAAACGATTTATTTCATATCGAATAATTTCTCCTCACTTCAAAAAATAAATTAAGCTAGAACAGTTCGATACTGTAAGCAGCTGCCTGCATTTCCACCTACTAACAGTAACCGGCTCTGAATGCAGCGTCAGTCTCAGGTGAGTCATCTATGAGTTATAACGCCGATTACGATTCTAATCGAAACGATCGAAGACTGGATGACATCCAGTTCCTCAACGAATAGAAACAACGTAACCTGACCAGCCTCTTGCAACTCGTCAAACACATCCATTGTACTCAGCAGTAGGACAGAATTGTACTTACTCTGAAGTGAAAAAATTATACGAAAATCATCGTGTGACAGTATACCCTCATCATTAAATGTGCCCCACTTCCTGAATTTGTATGGACAATAAGATGCGGAATTCTAAGCATTTTCAGAAACTAATTTTCAACTCCGAATTTGCAGTTGTTCATTAATTTATGGACAAAGTGAAGAGAAATAGGCAGAAACCAGACCAACAGCAGTGTCATCTTTCATATCAATGATCTATACGCTGGCAGTACTTTGGGTGCAGACTCCTGAGTAACGAACGATGATAAGAGGTGCTGTGCGCTGTTATTACCAGCCAGCCACCAGTTAGGATGGGTAAAGATACTGGCCATAGCAAAAGGCTACGTAACTAGTCAACCATTCGAAAACCTTGCTTTGTAGCCGGCAGATGGCAGCATTTAACAACGCCTAAAGCAGGAAACGGAAAGAAACGGGTATGAAGATTTTAAGGTCAATTTTAGGAGTAAAGTGATATGGTCTGGTGCTAAATGTGACCGTAAGAGAGGAAGACTAGGATATACAACCAAAATGACAGACTGACCGACAAGGCGCTTAGTATAGTAAGGTGCCTGCTAATGAATGAAGAAAAGCCGTCTTGCGAAGAGAACACCGAACGCAAAGCCCGATCGCAGATGGTCGCAAGGAAGAACTCCAACAAGACGGCAAGATCTCGTAAGAAACCAACATGGCATTTTAAGGGCTGAAGGGCCAGCACTCACTCAAGTGCAAAAGTCGTACTGTACGGGGCGTCGTTTTCGAAGAAGTGGGATGTGAAGAAAAAGTTGCCAGCGAGCTTCAAGAAATACGTCTTAGTCTTATCTCCTACAAGCAAATGCGACAGAATGGATTCTTCGATGTTCAGGCTAGCTCATGGTTACCCAGTTGGTAAGCATTCGGTACGATCACGCTTCAGAACATTCCTTTTAAAACTTCAATTTGAATTTGATCGCCTGATCGGAAGCAGAATTTGAAAGTTGTAGGTTGTAACCGATACTGTAAGTGATAGTTCGCGTCACAGTTTCGCCATACCTGTCGCTACACGAGCTGCATACACAGCTTAAAATACAAAGAGAGAAAAACAAAACAAGGCAACGCTACTTCTTCAAACACAAACAACTG